AAACGCTTATTTCAGGTCCAGCCTCGAATTCTTATTGTGGGCTATAAACTAAGCGTATGTCGCTCAGTTTCTTATTTCAAGTTTCTTATTTTTCGTGCAGCCCAATCCTGCTGAATTTCTTACATCGGCAATTTCTTATTTCTCTGCTTGATTCGACCCCCGTACTCAACCCCGATTCTCACTACCGACGGCTGCACGTAAGGCCACTCCCTAGAAGCGAAAGGTATCCAGCGGCAACGTCTCACTATCGCTTCAAGGTCCTGTACCCCCCTCATGAGTGAGGGCTGAAACTAAACAAATGCATTAACACCGCATGATGCCTCACCCGCACGCTGACGTGCCAACAACGAAAACTACCCCGTCATTATGTTGCAACCTCCGTGAGGCGAACATTGGGGGTTGTCACCCTTTTGCGCTTCCCGCTCCCTTCCTTGGGGTCCACCTCTAGGAGAACCCACGCCCCAATTGCGGCGTCTTCATCCGTGCTGTACGACTCTAACAGCATCTTCATGCTACGTGTACTTTCGTCACAGTGCAGAATGATGCGGTAGTCGTACTCCTGCCGCGAAGCAGGGTGAGATCTGCGACTAATTACCCCTCCGAACCAACCCAACCCGAGTTTCACGAGAACCCCACGCTTCACTATCGACTGATCGAGGGCCGGTGGTGGAGACGCCTGGAGTCGAAACCCGTTCGGGATGTCCATCTTCAGCGTTTCTTCCTCAGGCGACAACTCGTCGTCGTCGTCGAGCTGGGTCAGCGAGTCCTTATCGTTGTCATCTTCTCCTGACAAGGCACAGCGGAGGCATCGTCTATTGGTGTGGCGATTCCTGAAGCGGGGACAATATTCCAACACTCATTAATGTGTCAACAAGAGGAGATTTCTTCCGCAAGGGTAATTCTTCTGTGCTCCGAATGAACGCGAAATACAATATCACTTACCGTCGCTCTCATCATCGCTGGAAGAGGCGTCCTCCGACAGCTGGTCCACGTCAACATTGCCGGTGTTGCCATCCTCCTTGCCCTCCTCATCAGCACTGGCGCCATCCTCCACATCCATGAAGGAATATGTGGAAAGGCCCTCGATTAAGCAACACGCGACGTTCGGAACACGTCAGTGCTTTGGCCTCCCACTTTTGCATGTTGTCTCCGCTCTCCAGTCACTTGTCCAGCTGCACCCCCACAGCCACCTTCAGCCGCCGTCCATAGCCGCCGTCGATCGGCTGGACCTCGTCCGTACAGCCTGCCGGCAGGTGCCAAAGAAGCGTGTTGCACTCCTTGTGGAGATACTTGCGGAATTCCTCAGTCGTCTGCCCGTGCAGGTTGTCGGCGAGAAGAAGCGACTGCTCCTCGGGCACCTTTCCGTTTACCATTCGGCTCGGGCGAAAGAGCGCTCCAGCCATTGCATGCAGAAGTCGCTGTCGGCCCAGACCTTGGGCTGGAAGAAGACATCTACGCGCTTGTCGTATGCTGCCTTCTCCACCTTGGTGATGCCGGTTCCTTTGCCGCGGAAGACGATCGCGCACCTCGTCTTTTTCACACCTGCTCCTATCGTCGGTTGCACCGTGCACTGCCGCTTCTCCAAGCCGGGGAATGGCTGGCCAACATGCACCCGCTTCGCCCCTCTTTTGTCCCAGGTGTCTTCCTTTCCGGTCACGAACCCCAACGGTACCTGGTCGGTGTTGTCCCTCAGCTCCTTCACGAAGCGCCCCCACTTGCCGTAGGGTCCTTCGAAGGGGATCAGCGCCCCTGGTTGCTCGACGGATCCTCCGTCCGAGACAGGTGCTTGTGGCTCCCACG